AATTTTTCGTCCTTGAGTGTTGATCCATTTGCTTTCAGCGTGACCGCCTCTTTGGTAGTGTAAATTAAACGTTATAAATCACAGTTTCCCGTCTCACTCCTCGTCACATCTAATCAGTTTCTAGAATGACAATATAACAAAAGCCAGTGCCCATCCTTGAACTATCGATCTTTTTTTCTATCCTTCTGGGAACAACGAGCTAATAGGGAATTACCATCCATCTGAGCGACCATGCTGGGATAATGGCCTGAGCCTATAAGTACTTTGGTCCGGGCGTTATACCCAGAGCACACTGCCTAAAGGATTCAATCGAACTGAATCGAGGCCAGGGAGATTTTCTTCCCTGGAGGAGCAAACGCTACCACTTTGTCACAATACGACAGATTCAGCTTGCGGACTTGAAAAATGAACATGTTTGATCTGAAGGTCTCAGTCGAATTTTGTGGAATATTCGGTCGAATTGTGTAATGGTAGCTTCTGCACTTTTTCCCGATCTATGAAGAAAAATCGCTGACTGGCCCAGCTCAATCAAATAAATTCAACTGACAGTGTGCACTCGGTATCAAGGCCCTTTTGGCATGATGATGTCACTGAAAACCAGACACCGACCAGAAGCCTGTATTGTTGGAGGACGAATCTGAACCTGATCTTATGTGAAAAGGCACAGCGAACAGTCACCAGTGGACTGACTCATGAAATCAGTTTCAGCGGATATACATGTAGAATAAATGTCCTGTCACTGGAGTTACAGATGGCAAAAGTGGAAGACAAAGATAAAAAATAATTCACTTAGAGAACTGGAACAAACAAGGAATGGAAAATACCAGTGGCGTTTTGTAAGGTGGGGCTTGCAGCTCAAGCCCAAGCTAGTTTTTCCTTCACCAAAAAGTTACTTCTCTGGCCAAAATCAAAACACAATATTTTTTTAAGAAAAATAATAAAAGGGACAAAACATGTCAATGCGTTCCGATCAAAAGCGAAACTTCACAAACACCCTAGAAAATTTTTTGAAGCATACCAACTCGAAAAGTGATCTGATTGCTCCGGATGCCAAGCGCTCCTTCCAGGTGCAAAAATATGTTAATTTTATTGGTTTGTCCCTGTAAACCCCGGCGCTTAATTTAGTTCCTACAGACTGAATATCATTGGGGTCTTGACCTCACATGGCTCAAGGTCGAGAGAAAGCAACTGATGTTTCTTTTTGGCTCGGGGGCTAAAGCCGCACTGTGTCACCTGATTAGACATCAAGGTTGCACACCCTCGCGCCTAGCTCAAAGCCAAGGCGTAGACTGAGCACCCCCCCCCCCTTTTCTTTTTTTTCTTCTTCTTTTTTTCTCCTTTTTTTTCTTTTTTTTTCCTTTTTGTTTTCTTCGGCTCTCCTCTCCACTTGCTCTTTAGTTAAGCCGTTTTACTAAGCTTATGATTATATCATTGGGCTAAGATGTGCACACTGGCGTGAAATTTTGAGTTTGTTAACATTTAGTGATCTCTTGCGTGTGTACTGTGTTCACTCGAGTTCTGTGTGTGAAGATTAGACAAACAATGTAGCAAGCGCCGCTGTATTGTATTAGTGAGTTGGGGTAATTTAAAATCAGAATCTAATATCTGTTCTTCAATGCAGCAATGTATCGTGTAGAATACTTCTTGGAAATCAGCATTAGTTCCTTATCACGTGGAGCTAAATTTCTCTTTACTATTTCGTCATGCTGAGAAGAGAACCAGACTCTATTGTGAAGACTGCCTTCCACTGGACACGTCGCAAAAGGGGCAGACCCAAAGTGACCTGGAGACGCACAGTAGAATCTGAAATGAAGTCCTGGAATCATTCGTGGGGAACGCCGACCAAGATGGCCCAAAACAGACAGAGCTGGAGATCTTTGTTGCTGCCCTAACGTAATGGGTAGTAATTACAGTATTAATTAATTATATTTCGTCATGCTTTCAATTGAGCCCGTCTGTTCGCTTTGTGTAGGCCTACCGTCTACCAAAAAATAGTAAACTGTCAAAAATTGAAAGTGTGGTACCGGTACCTTTTATAAGGATTTCTTTCTTTCAAGTAGTAGGCTATGGTTAGCCCCTTTACGTACTGCTTGGCCCGTGACTGTCTTGCGAGCCTTCTAGTTTGCCATTGAAACATGTTCCTGCGCTCCATAAATCTCGGTGTTTACCAGAAAAAAATTCTTTACTATAGATTTTTTTTTAAATAGATATATATATATGCCTATTGGGGAAAATATTTTGGACACAATTCACCACATTTGCCGTTCACTCCAATATCTCCCTAAGTAACGGATACAACGTTTTGTTTATACCCCACTAACTAGGCTACCTGAATTACGTACCTGTAGGCCTATATTATTTTAACTTTTTTTATTATCGCCCTCCACTCCCCTTCCATCCAGCTCATCCCAATCCTCTGCTTCCATCCTGTAAGTCCTACTTTATTGGATGTGGCACTGCTGCTGCTACTGTGCCCTTTAGAGTTTGAAAGTTTTAGGAACGTAGTTTCAAGAATGTAGGCCTAGTAAAACATTGATAAGAAACACGACTGTTCATGGAGTAAAGCATTAATTTTTGTTATTACAAGACAGTCTCAGAGACGGTATTTTATAAACAGCTAATCTGCTTTTCACGTACTGATCTTATCGAGAGACATTTTGATAAGTTACTCTTTTTATGAGAATTTGCTTTAGCCTACTGATTTGAGGGGTGGGTAGGAAGGAGGAGCTTAGGGGGTGGGGGTCCGCACCTAGGTCGAGTGCTTGAAGGGAAAAAATAAAAGAGAGTCTGAGAACGTGGAGGGTGAGGCAACGTTTTACAAACACAAGCTTGTCGTTTACTTTTTTTTTTGTAGGTGAGACAGAGTTGGTAGGATGTCGATATGAGAGTGAGACGGAAAACGACGACATAATGAAACTTCTGCAATCCAAAGAACTTTTATGCCTGTTTACTTTTTGAGTGCGGTAAAAAAAATTCGTGGCGCAACGTATCATTGTCATAAAATTATATTTCCACAATTATTGAACATAAAGTCTCCAGCTTTTGCACTATGATTAATATTGTATCAATGCGTCTAAACAGGTCAATATGTTTGTAAACACCTGTTATCTGTGTAGGCCTACTAGAAAACTGCTTACTAAATACTAATTTAAATAATACCAGTAAGTGGTTTCCATAGATTTTTTAATGTTTACAACTGGGACAATAACCGCTTATAAAAGCAATTCCGTAATTTTTATAAGTGAGATCGAGTTCTGAAACGCAGGGGTGCGTATTTACTCTGAAACCTCATGTTCCGTTACTCAAATCACGGGTCTCGCTGTGAAGGGGTTTAAAAAGTATGCAAAACAAATTAATAATAGTTATCATTTAACTGCTAATTATTGCTTGATTATTGAAAATTTGCCCCTTTCTCTGTTTGAAGCAGATCTAGTATTTGCAATTCATTGTGGGTTTACAAAACGAAAAATCATGCACCCTGTTACGGTAGAGTTCATTCATCGTTAGTAGAGCAGAGAAAATGGCACAAAAACTTCTCTTCAGTTGCCCATGCTCATAATCTCCTCTGGGGCATACCGCGTCCGCTCAGTACGTTGGCATCATGCTGACCTACCGTTCAAATGACCGTTGTTCGGATCCTCAAAGAGCTCAGTTTGTTTGCTTGTTTGTTTGTTTGTTTGTTTGTTTGTTTGTTTGTTTTCCTCCGCCCGCAGTTGTAGTAACAGATGTGTGTGTTTAGTTGGAAATCCTGCTCCTCTCGTCAACTTAAATTTAGCTTTAATTAATTTTTTTTTACAACAAACCAGAGACTGCTGCATTTATTAGCTGAGACAACGTGTTATATTTCATTGTAATGATGTAATATTTAAAATAAACAATCCGTTTGCTACTTGCGAATAAGTGTAGGCTATAATTAGATTATGGATAGACTTGCGGTGCCTTGTAAAACATTTTTTTTAAATAAAATGGAGGCAGGCTTTTCGACATGAGCTGTCCTAGTGCGGAATTCCTTATGCCTACTGATGTCCAAACTTGGTTGCGTTTAAATCTGGTTTATGACACATTTATTTAAATCCCATTTTACAAACTAGTTTTAATCTCATCTTAATAGCTATAAGCCTATAGTGTGATCAGAGCCACAATGTTATATCCTGTTGTATGGTTTGAATGAAATGCTGGTTTCAATCTTATTTAGGCTAATCGTGCGGTTCTAGAGGGTCGAGTGGCCGGGAGCTATAAAAGTTACCTTTATCATCATTATTATTATTATTGTTATTGTTATTGTTAGGTAGTAGTAGTAGTAGTAGTAGTAGTAGTAGTAGTAGTAGTAGTAGTAGTAGTAGTAGTAGTAGTAGTAGTAGTAGCAGTAGCAGTAGCAGTAGTAGTAGTAGTAGTAGCAGTAGCAGTAGCAGCAGCAGCAGCAGCAGCAGCAGCAGCAGCAGCAGCAGCAGCAGTAGTAGTAGCAGCAGCAGCAGCAGCAGCAGCAGCAGCAGTAGCAGTAGTAGTAGTAGTAGTAGTAGTAGTAGTAGTAGTAGTAGTAGTAGTAGGAGGAGGAGGAGGAGGAGGAGGAGGAGGAGGAGGAGGAGGAGGAGGAGGAGTAGGAGTAGGAGTAGGAGTAGGAGTAGGAGTAGTAGTAGATCTATTATTATTATTATTATTATTATTATTATTATTATTATTATTATTATTAACTTGTTGCATGATGGCTTTCTCCACGGAAATAGATCAAAAGGAAACAGGTTATGAAATTGAAAATTAATTAAATACCAAAAAATGCATTCACCTGTCCTTGACACAACATGTCGTTCCCTTTGTTCCTCGTTATCTTTTTGAGAAAGTTGGACGTACTATTTTGTACGCTGCGTTGCAATAGCAGAGAGCACTTCTACGTGGATATTTATTTGCGTCAGTCTCCCGGTGTGTTTTTGTTTGTTGGTTTGTTTTCAGCCACGAGAGGGAATCCTCTAGGTAGATCAACCTGGGCAAAGCTGAAAAAATCTGGATACCGGGAAAAAATCTCGAAAACGAAAGTACCTTCAATTTCAACCAACTCTATTCTATGTTGCTGCTAGCTGATCCACGTTTCAGTTTCAGGCATGCTGTCTTGATCTACTAATGTTAAAAGCGTTCCGAAGTATGTCGACCTCCAGATGTTTTCTGGTTTGTTTGCAGAAAAGTCATGAAGACGTTTTGCTGCCAGACGGAGTGCCAGTATCAATCGGCCGAACCCCGGTTACCAAAATAACAGATCCACGCTGTTCGCGTCAGCAAGGTTTGTTGTTGGTCTTTTACTACTGAACAGACTGAACTCTCCAAGAGTAAGAGAAGACTAGATCTAGATCTAGATCATAATGGGGTCTCTCAAACTCAATAGCCCCACTGCGCAGCTTTGAACTGAATGCATGGTTTTGGTGTATTTTCCCCTTTTCCTTGTTGGCCACCTCTATTCTCACCCGGAGTGAGTGAGAATAATCTAGATCTAGTGCAGGAGAGTCTTGTGGCTATTCTCACCCGGTGCGTGCGCGTTCACCAAATTTTGCGTTCACCCTAAACCACATAATTCTATACTGTGATAACAGAAAAATTGTAGAATTCTGTGCCGTGAACAAACATTCCATTACAACCGTAGCCTACTAAAAGCGTACAATTTTGTCTGTGGGCAGTGGAGAGAGAAAGAGAGAGAGGAGTAGCGCGAGAATATCCGGGCAAAACAAAATGGCGACCCGCGTAGTTCGGCTCGATTCGAAAAGTTAAATAGCCGTAGCATCTTTGTAGACAACCAAATTAATTTACTTTTGTGTTTTAACATCATTTTTTAACTTTGTTTTGGTCAATTTGATCGTCCACACCGATAGAAAGTATTCTGAAAGAGACAGAGAGAGAGAGAAGAGGGGAGGAGTTGATCTTGCGAGAACTTCCGGGCGGGTGAGAATAGCCTTTTCCTTACAAAAACCATCCTATCCCCTCTCCCCTTTCAAAAGAAAAAAACCCAAACATTTTAATGAGCCCTAGGACCTACGCCGGAAGGACTTCCGTAACGAGCGACCACCCCATCAAACACAATAAAGAAGAGGCCTACCCCTACCCCTACCCCTACCCCTAGACTAGACTACCCCTACCCCTAGCCCTAGCCCACATGCAATTAAACGTAGAAAGACGCAAACTATTTTTTGGTACGGCGCCCATCTTGTTTGACGTCACACCAGGATAGCCCTCCGATCACGTAACTAGATCTACATCTAAGTATAGCCAACTGAATGGCACCAAAGATGGAAGTGTCTATGTTATAACGCTTAATCTACAGCACGCTCTCGGAAGTTCTGATGGCCGAATAGACAGCGCGTCTGCGTTAGAAGTCATACAATGATTTTAGGAGCGGTTTGATTCCGGTCCCAGGCTTTTTTTTTTTTCTCTTTTCCTCCTCCCGACTGACCAATAGTCCCATAAATTTATAATTTGTAGAGCTGCTTTGAAGTTTGTTTTTGAATGTATATTAGTGATGAAGAATGCAGGAGGGGGGTAGATCTAGAGTATCTAGCCCAACCCACGACCACTTGTCATATTTTGCTTCTCAGCGGTCTCTGTCAGCAAAATAGGTCAGGCAATCCATTTTCAGGGCCGCTTCAGTGTGTCAACTTTCGGTTTATACTGTGATATCGTCAATCATTCCAAAACGTAATTCGCAGATTTCGCATTTTAACATAATGCTCTGCCCTTGGCGCGACCGCATGCCCTCAGCACGACCGCATTATACGGAATAGGGCGCTACCATACGCACACAGTTATGACAGGTGCAAAAAGTTGTTAGTACACCATTTAAAGGTTAGTAAAATCATTTCTTTATCAAATTATGATGAAAACAATCAAATTAATAACAGAGGGTACAAAGACAAGTGGTCGCGGGTTGGGCCAGCTACTCTAGTTTAGTAACTGAAGAAAACTTCTCTAAGAATGTTTCTGAAAAAGCCTTTCACTTCGAACTCGACTGCTGCACTAGCAGACGACTGACGTTCTCGGAAAAGGATTGACCAAAAGTGGAACTAGAAAAGAAAACTCTAATAAAACAGATTGCACATGAGCTGCACAGAAGGAAAAATTTGGAACTGGTCGCGCTCAGGGCATGGTCGCGCCAAGGGCAGGATAGTATAGTATGTGGCGTCCGTGGCCTAGTGGTTAGGCTCTCGGACTCGCAACCGTAAGGTCGTGGGTTCGAATCCCATCAAGGGCCCGACGTTGTGTCCTTGGGAAAGGCACTTTACACGAATTTTCCTCACTTCACCCAGGTGGGAATGGGTACCCGGCTATGCTATAGACAGCGAAAGATCTTGTCAGTTTGTTAGTGTTTGAGCGCTTAATCGGCTGCTTGCACTGTATGCTTCCCGGGAAGCTGAGAATGTTTCGGAGTGTTCTATGGTCTGCTGGGGTAATAATATAGTGTTAAGCGCATAGAGCCTGCTGCTGAGCGGGGATATGCGCTATACAAATGCTATCTATTATTATTATTAGATCTAGATCTAATCCTCCAGCGTCTACTTTACGGCAATTTTCGTACACTTCCATCTTTGGTGCCATGCGGTTGGCTATACTTTCTAGATGTAGTCACGTGATCGGAGGGGAATCCTGGTCTGACGTCAAACAAGATGGGCGCCGTACCTAAAAATTGTTTGCGTCTTTCTACGTTTAATCGCATGTCCCTAGCCCTCAATTGTGTTCTGTCTCACAGTGGTCGCTCGTTAGGTAAGTCCTCCCCCTACGACAGTCCTAAGCGAGCGACCACCTCCTGATGGGATTTCAAAAGTAAAAAAGTAAATGGTTTGTTATTTTCATTTTGATAGTCCTACGTATGACGGCCACCTGTCTTAATGGCCTCTTTTCGGTGCTTTTTCGGTAGTTTCCACCCCCCTTATTTGAGCCTTGATCTACATCGAGATCTCTATACGTTTGATGCGCGGCGAGCTAAGACATTAAACCTAACAACTGCAAAACATCAAATTATTATTATGGTAAAATTTAGGGAGGCATGCCCCCCTGAAACCCCCCACCATATTTTATTAGGTCTGGGGGGGGGGGGGGGGGGGGGGCAAGCCCCCCTGAAACCCCCCTACTCTTGAGGCCAAAACCGACGAACAATTGCGGCGTGGGAACTACCGAAAAAGCGCCCTCTTTTCTCCTCAACAATGTGTGGCCGTCTTACACAGGTTCGACTGTATTTTAGTTTCACTTTAAGTTTTTCAGGTTCTTCGGTTTCACAGAAATGGGCAATCTTCCAAATGTGCAGTATTATTCACATTTCATTTGCCGCATTCGGGTAATAAGGTGAAGGTAAGGGTTAGTATCGCCCCAGATATACACCTACCTTACACTTTTATTTCCTTTTAAAGTAATCTTTACTTTCACTCCCGCACACAGAGATGCAGTGCACTCCTTCAGGGGTCTAACTGCAGTAATTTTTGGCTGCAAATCACGCATATATATGGCCACTATAACTGTCGCAAATCAATTATTTTCAAGAAAGTTTCAAACCTAATTTTGCAAAACATCAGATTATGAGGAGCCCCCCCACCCCCTCTCCTCCCCCATGACTGGTGAAGAGCGCGGACGTTACTATTCAATTAGGCTTACTTAGTGTGATATTAAGTTCGAATAGAGAAACCATCTATTGTTTCAAAAACTATTTGTCTGCGATGAGTATAAAAGGCTATATTCGTGTAAAACTGGTAAAAGTGAACAAGTAAAGGGCTTTGAAAAACCTGAGCATCAGATGAAAGTGAAAGTAAAAGATACCCCTAAATCCTGCTAATATAATGAATAAAACTGGCCATCTGGAAGACTGCCAATTTCTGTGTTACTGAAGAAACTAACTGGAAGACTGCCAATTTCTGTGTTACTGAAGAAACTAAAACAAATCATTATCATCATACTGCCCTTACAAAGCACATCTGGAAGATCTTTTTTTTTTAAATACACCTTTATTGACTGCATCCTCTTGGTAGCTTTTGGCTAATGAACTGAATGTGTATCTAGAAAGTAAAAGAACATGCAGTACAGTGGATGCGTGGTTATCAAAAGTCTTGTTTGTAGACCCTAGATTGGGTTGTGGGCAGGGGGTGGCGAAGATGGGATAAATATTAATGTGAGGAACTCTCTTTTGAGCTAAACAATTTAATACAGTGTACACTGCCTATCGAATTCAGACGAATTGATCGGGGGCCAGCCAGATTTTCTCCATGGAGAGGCAAAAGGCTACCATTTTGGCACAATGTGGCTGATTTGACAGACACAGTTAATTTTGAAGGTCACAATCAAATTTATTAAAATTCTGCCAAAATTGTAGCTGTCACCCCACCAAAGAGCGAAAAATCTAGCTGGCCCTGACTAGATCAAATTTTAATTAATAAGATTAGCAGTGTGCACTTGGTACCAGAAGGATGTTTTGCATTCAGTTTATCATTTATAAATAAGTATCTTCTGGTATGTTAAGCCCTGTTTTCCACTTGTCTGTAAATCGCATTTTTGCTGTAACCAATCATGAGGACCTGTAACTGAGTGGTGACAATGTTGTAACCTCCTCTACCCTCTTTGTATGAGATGTGGTAAACATTACTGATGCTTTCAGCTGGAAAAGATTGCAGAAAGTTGTTAACCTCTGATGCTTTGTTATGTAATTTTGCTGTCTCCACAGTTGAACTGACAGCAGACTGTGCCAAGAGGAAAGTAAAAGTGAAACAGCTGGGAGCTAATTTGTCTGCTGTAGATGGTAATCCCATCGGCAAAGATAAAGAAATTGTAATAGGGTCTCGATCTACATTGTTCATTTTATCAGGTTTGTACTTACATAAATTCTAATACCTTGATACCTTTTTATTTTCTATTCCCCCCCCCCCCCCCCCCCCCAGGCAGTGCCATTGACTGGAGTGTCTTTAGGCCATTCCCAAAGGGGGGACATTTCTCGTTCAAGCATTGCAGAATTATTGTAAATGGGCTGACTCATGTCACACTCATAACTGTGCCTGGTCTATAACAGGGAACTGCTGCTTTTTCTTTCCTGATCCTTACTATTGTCCTTTTCCTCAATTTCTTTTGTATGTTTGTCACTCTCCTGTGGCCTGCTATTTCCGGGGTGCCTTGATAGTCGAAGCAGACTTTGTGCTGTTGAAGCTAGAGAGGTAAGCAGTCTAAGACTGATTCCCTGTAAAGACTTCTCTGTTGACCCTCACCCCTTGGCGCTCATATGACCTTATGCAGTTGCGAGCGCCGTCAAACCCTCTACTATATACTTTCTATTTCTTGTCATGTTTGATTGCCAATGTCCTGCACAAGTTGGAAAGAGGAGGGAATATTGTAAGCATAGATTCTTTTTTTTTTTCTTCACTTAATAAGCTTTCCTTTTTTAAACATTTTTATGCGCCTGCATAAATGCCTTAAGTGTATAGACTTGACCGGGGTATTTACAATAGATCATGAAAGTCAGTTTGTCTATTTTAAAAAATGGCATGTCCACCCATCGTTCAAAGTTGAGTCTCGGGTGGTCGGCGGGTGCTCTGATGTGTGGTTTGCTCCTTCTTTCCTATCATATATATCTATCGCCCGTATCTCTCCTTTTTTTTGTTTGTTTGTTACTCTCTTGTAACACCTCTAATCTTGGGCTCTGTGACCTTATCGTTTTGCTTCTAACGTTAAATTCTTACTTAACCTACAGTAGTAGTGCCCGGGAGGAGGGGGGGGGGCGTTTCAGACCTCCTCAACTACCTTGCTTAAAGAGGGCCTCTTTTTTAAAATAGTCTGGTAATCTGGGCTCAAGAGTGAAGTGATTATAGTGAAATCTGTCTGATATTTTTCTATTTTGTTTTGCACAGGTCAGTATCCACACAAAATTACTTTCAAGTCCGACTCTTTTTCCAAGGAAAACAAACCTAAGGAAACGTCTGAAGCAGAGACAAGTGATCCTGGTAAAGTCAATGAGAAAGATTGTGACAGAAAAGAAGATTCGAAGAAAAATAAATCGGACAGTAAAAAGGAAAACAAAAGTGATGCGGAGAAAAAGAGCACTGACAACGGAGTTGTTGATGAACGTGATAAGAAATTGTCTAAGAAACGACAGAGTGTTGATGCTGGAACTGAGCCTCAGTTGAAAAAACAAAGAACAAATGAGGACAGTTCTCATTCTGTAAAGAAATCAAAGAAAGAAGACCGTGAGAAGAAGAAAGCAGATAGTAATGGAGATGAACATCGGCCTAAGAAACAAAAAAGTGATATGGAAAGCTCTGGCTCCGTCAAGAAATCAAAGAAAGAGGACAATGATGAAACAAAGATTGATAGTGATGATGAAGAGCATGTTCAAGATGTTTCTGATAGATTACAACAAATGAAGCAAAGTGTAAAGGAAAAGAAGACAGCTCATTCCTCTGCTAGCAGCAAAGACTCAAAACCTAAAACATCAAGTAGAAGTAAAAGTTCTGATTCACAAAGTTCAACATGTGGTGACAAAAGATCCGACAACAGTTTTTTGAAGCCCCAAACACCTGTGTCTGAGAGCAAATGGTCATCACATGAGCATCTATATGTCTACACATCTAAAGGAGTCGTTCATCAAAGCAAGGTAAGTGTTGCTATTTGCAAAGAGTGATAGGGCTGCAATATTTATGCTGTTGTTTTATTGTACAACTGAAAAGTATGCATGGATACTGAGTCATGGTTGGAAGATTTCCTTTTGCTGTATCTGAAAGTTTTATATGAGTCATATTTTTATGACCAGTTTGTGAAGGACCATTTCAAGTCTATCTTAATTGTCTTGAATAATGCTGCAAGAGATAAATTTACTTCGATTGTTTGGGACAGGGCCTGCTTGAAAATGTCTTTCTTTGTCTTTATACTTCTATATTTTTGTCAAATTGTCTGTTCAGTGGTCAATTTAATGTTTCATTTTTCCATGGGGGTTTTTTCTGTGTCATATTCTCCTTTTTACCTTATTAGTTATTCCTTTTTTTTTTACTCATTCTTTTCAGATTGCAGGATTTGACATTGATGGTACAATCATTATTACCAAGTCTGGAAGGACCTTCCCTACTGATTCAAGTGATTGGCAGTAAGTAAAATAGACTGAATATCAAGAAGCTATTGGTTTTGCGGCACAGGAAAAAACGTCCTTTTCACTTGCTTTTGTTCTCTGCTTTGAGTTTTGTGGGCTTCAGACATGAGAATATGGTTGATACATGTTTTTCTTAAAATCTCTTTGTTACATCTGTCTGTCTGTGCTGTCGAGCGCGCTTGAGTGCTTGTTACTCACTAGCGGCACGCTGCTCAAACCGCTCGAGTAGTACTGTACCGTCAGTGCTCAGGCGAGAGCAGTGTTCCAACAATGTTTCTGTCTCCTCCAGACGAACAAACAGCTTTCATGGCAGTATTGTTTGTTTGTTGTTTTTTAACAATCATTCTTCCCTCCAGTGGGTGGTTGGCAGGTGCTCTGGTGTGGTTTGCTCCTTTTTTCCTATCAAACATCTATCGTCCTTATCTCTCCTTCTTCTTTTTTATGTTTGTTACCCTCTTGTAACACCTCTAATCTTCTGGCGCTCATATGACCTTATGCAGCAGTTGCGAGCGTCCTAAAACCTCTACTAAAACTAAAAACTTTCGTCCCTCCATGCCTCTCCTCCCCTCCTGTCATTTTGATGTTACATCACCATGCTGCATGTTTGTCTGTTGTTGCACAGTAAGGGGGTTTGGGCGAGGACGGTGGGGAAAGTCGCTTGGGTCGTTTATATTTTATTAAATGGAAGCCAATGATATCAAGGCTTATAGTGCTGAGAGTTACTCTAACCTTGGTTTTGTCAGTTAATTAGGTTACTTTTTTCATACTTTTCACCCATGCCGCAACACTTATCCCCATGGACCATGTTATGGGTGCTGCACATGCTATATCACACCGTCGCCGATCAGCGTTCCATGGGGAAAAGGGACGGCTTCTTACCGTCGCGTCCTTTTGAGGCATAGTGTTAAAGTTGTGTGATAGGCAGACGTATTTGTTCTAGATGTTTTTTAAAAACTCATTTTGTTCAAGTTAAGCATTGTTACCAGTGACAAAAAAAATAACCCGGGGTATTGACAATAGATCATCAAAGTTAGTTTGTCTATACTTATTTATATCGTTTTTTTAAATTAAAATTTTTTTTTTATCCCTTGCTCATTTATATGAGATTGACGCCATCTGATTAGTAGAAAAAAGTGCGTATGATAGTGTCCAATAGTGTATTTCGTGCATACTTAGTATAACAAGTAACTGTTACAGCAGATGGGGATTCCAGGATTATAGATGTAAGTCATTGATCTTAGAGCGGTGATGATTTAAAAAATAATGGTGGTGCTGAGTGATGATGTGGGATTGCGTTTAAGTAATGTTAGCGTTTGTCCTATCTATCTTCCTCTGCTTCAATGAATCACGAGGGATGTTATGCTTACATACTTAGGTTTAGCGGGACCTGAGGATTTTTCATTTTACTTATTTTTTTAAAGCTATTTCTGTCATAGCTAAGGGAGGGGTGAGGGGTTGTTATTATTTCTAGTAGGTTATACCCTAAACTGAGCATGATTTCTTCAGGGTTTTTAAAAAAAATTGATTGTAATTGAAGGATGCCTCTAAAGTGTTTAAAAGAGTGCAGGGCTCTGACTCTAATTGTTGGATGTTGTGGATATAATTTTTGCGGAAAATGATTGTTTTCTAGCCTAAGGTGTGACTACTCCGAGCATTGACATGACATGTGACAGCCCGAATGGAACTTATTTCAGAAATAATTGTTGTAGTGCTGATTTTGTGACCCTGGAGAGCCCTTTGAAAATGTTGAGTGTGACAAAAGTAGCATATTTCTAACAATTGTTTAAGCTGACAATAGGGTCCGGATAGATACTTATTTTTAAAAAAGCTTATAGGGAAAATGGCACCTAAAATTAATATTTCCATAAGATTGCTGTCATTGGCTGTAAAGATAGCTATTGCATTAAATCGAGTGAAGGAACGGTTAGCAGGTGCTCTGGTGTGGTATACCCATTCTGTGGTCTCTCCTCTTTCTTTACTTTGTATGTTACTCTCTAGTAACACATCTAATCTTCTGCACTTATGTGACCTGTTTGTGTGGCAAGTGCTGTGAAACTCTTACTAAAACTTAATAAAGATCAAGTAAATTCTGTTTCACACATACATGTTTTGTTCTTCATTCTAAAATACTGCTCCTCCTTTCCTATCAAACATCTATCGTCCTTATCATCGCTTCTTCTTTTTTATGTTTGTTACTCTCTTGTAACACCTCTAATCTTCTGGCTCTCATATGACCTTATGCTGTTGCAAGCGCCATAATACCTCTACTAAAACTAAAACTAAACTAACTAAAACTAAAATACAGTTCAATATTTACTTTATTTTAAAAAAGAATTTCAACCCTAACTGTCTTTGTATGATCATTTCTTAGTTGAAGGTTCAGCAACCTACTCCTTCTTTGCTGTCGCTTGTCGTATGATTTATTTGTTGGTATTGTCTGGTAAGAAGAATTGTTTTTTTTCTCTTTTGCAGTTTCTGGCACTGTAGCAAATAAAAAATTTTGACTTTCAGCATAATATTGTTTTCCTGGGTTGTTGGGTTTTTTTTTAAGATTGTTGTTGTACTTGTTT